ACATAGCAGCAGTGATTATTAAAGCTGGTGATGGAGGTGTGGAGAGGGCTCCCGTAGCTGGGCAGGCCTGGGTGGCTTCCCTTCCCACCACCACCAACCAGCTCAGGCAGGTCACTGTAGGCCTCAGCCTCAGTTTCTGAATCTGTAAAGTGGGATCTCACACCTGCCTGCTGGAGTAGCCAGGTGGGTTAAATGAGATAGAGCCAGGGAGGCCTTAGTTAAGGTTTCCCAGTTGAGTGCCTCCCGTGTGCAGAGTGGCTGGCGAGGATCTGCAGGGGGCTTTGGACGCAGGCCTGCCCGCGGGAGCCCCCGACTGGGGACACAGTGTAGACAGGGCTGTTGTTGAAAGGAGGTAATGGGAGCCCAGAGGGGCCTTTCTGCCGGGGAAGGCGGGGGGCTTGCACTGCACCCCCTGGGGAGAGACGAGGCCAGCAGGACCTCAGGACAGCCCCGCCGGGCCCCACCCCTGGTGTGCAGGGCCCGGTGAGAGGCCCACCGAGCCCGGCGACTCTGTTTTGCAGTCTTGTCCGCGCATTTCCGGGTCTGTGAGCCATACACGGACCACAAAGGCCACTACCACTTCGGCTTCCACTGCCCCCGGCTCTCGGACAACAAGAGCTTCATCCTGTGCTGTCACCATAACAACACGGTTTTCAAATACTGCTGCAACGAGACGGAGTTCCAGGCGGTGATGCAGGCGAACCTCACGGCCAGCTCCGAGGGCTACATGCACAAGTAAGTGCCACTCGGGGTCACATACACCCTACCTGGGCCCCCAGCAAGGCAGAGTGCCAGCCAAACACCCCATTCCCAGGGGTGTCTGCCGAGTCGCCACTGCCAGGATGGGGGGACCTGGAAGGAATCTGGGAGTGTTCAGGAGACCAGGTTTTCTGGCCTGTTCTGTCCTCTGAGCTTTAACTTTTCCATCTGAGAAATGGGCACATAATACCTACCTCTCAGGGCTGCTGCAAAATTAAATCAGGTCAAGTATGTGGAAGGCTTTTTAGGCAAAGAGTGTTTGGGCCCCTAGTTCCTTCCTTCCTTCATTATTTGTTCAACAAATATTGATTAGCACTCTTGACCCAAGGATTAATCCTACGCAGCCTCTTTCCTTAAGGTGAGTAAAACACACGAGACCAGGGCCCTGATGGAGGGGACCATGGTGAGTATAAAGAAAGAGGAGTTTCCCAGGAGAAAAGCAATAAGATAGAAATAGCACACATTTCTCTTATTGTGAGTGGAACTGAGCACCTTGTTGCATGTTTGAGAGCCATTTGTATTTCTTTTACTGTGAGTTAGCTATTTATGTCTTTTCCTATTGAATTTTGGGCCACTTTAATTTATTTACAGGAACTGTTTATATATGAAGGAAATATGCCATTTGCAAACAATGATAACTATTTCCTGCTTTCCAATTTTGTGCCTCATTTCTTTTTTCTTGCCCAATCATGTTGGCGAGTACCTCTAAAACAGTATTTAAAATTGTCAAGTATTATCATCTTTCTCACTTTAATGGGGATGCTTCAGATAGTTTCCTAATAACTCAGAGGCTGATTCTTGGGGCCAATATATTTTCATGGTAAGGAAACATCCACTTGGAAAGAGTGTTTGTCGAGTGGCTGTTGAAGGGATTAGTCGCACCACTGGGAGGTGATGAGGTGGAAGTCTGAGTCCCAATCTCTCTGTCTGATGTTGGGGCTTGAATGCTTTGCCACCATGCCATGATCACTTGGGATAGCCGCTTTTCCCTTTGGTCAGGCAAGAGATTTAACTCTTGTCCAATCTCTGATCCTCCCACTGCGGCCAGCTCCCCAGCCCTCCTTCCTCAAATGCATGGGTGAATATCTTCCCATCTGCTCAGGCCTGAGAATAATTCTGTGTGTGAAGTCATCCAGCAAGGCCTGTCCCTGTCCCTCACTAGGGCTGGAATCAGGCCTGGAATCTGACCCAAGCCTTTTATAAGACCAACGCCTGAGTCCCTGAGGGCAGAGGGCCGTGCCAGGACTGGGGTGAGGACCCCCAAGTGTTGTGGTTGCTGGCCAGAAGCCAGACAGAAGACAGGAGCTTGGCCAGACAGCCAGACTTCTCGGAGGCTCTGGCGGCTGGTGTCTGGGGTCCTCACCGTGAAGCCCACGGATTTCTAGAATTCGCGCCTTCACTCAGGATTCCACGCGGAGCAATTCATCTTTTCAGCACAGCGGGCCCCGGCCGCCCTGATGAAGAGCCGGACCGCAGAATAGGGGCCTCCCTCAGGAGCAGCGGAAACGCCGAAGATGGAAAGTTTAGCTCAGGCCTTACCCCGATGCTCACGCCATGGAGCACGCAGCGCGGGACAGGCTCTGCGCTCACCCCTCCTCCTCGAGGTCACCCAGTGGCGGCAGGGACAGCCAGCACGCCCCGGGAAAGAGAGCGCGCTGATGGCTTATTTATTTGGGTTTTTCTGGAGGAGCAGGGTGGTTGGTTTGGGCTCTGGCCGCCTGGCCGGAGGGCGCAGAGCAAGGGCACCAGCCCCGCCGAGCCCACTGCCAGGCAAGGTGCCTCTGTGACCCGCACAGCAGAGGGGCCCTCGGTGTCAGGACAAGTGTGCCGCACACCCTCCCACGCAGGGTTCCGGTGGGAAGCTGGCGACAGCCACCCCCGGGGCCCTGCCCAAGTGTGGGAGCGCCTGTCCTGGGCTCGGGCGGGACAGGGCATGAGGGGTCAGCGGTGAGCTCTCTCTGGGGACAGGGAATGTCTCTGCACAGTGGGCGTGGTGTGGAGTCTTGTGCGGTGCGTGGGTACCCCTGCGCCAGGCAGATGGGCTGGGGGTGGGTGCGGGGGGAGGGTTTCTGGGACTATGGAGAACCCTCAGAGGTGGAGCGGCTGGGTTGTCACCACCACCCCCACCCCCGTCTGTGCAGGACACCTATTCCCCAAGACCGTCCTTTCCTGTGCCCAGAGATTCTCTAGCCATGCTGGTGGCCAGAAGTGGCAGCCGGTCGGGCCTGAGGGCCTGAGGATCCGGTGTGCTGGGTCCCCTCCACCTGGGTCAGTCCTGTGGGCCCCATGTCACCATCCAGCTGGCTCCAGGCTCCGGGTCCAGCCCCTAAGGGGGGTCAGCAACCCCGTCAAGCCCTGTTTGGCACAAAACCTGCCCACACCAGCAGCCTTGCGAAGCCTGCGGAGGTTCTAGAATCTGTTTCCTGATCTGAATACACTCCCTCAAGCGTGGGGACCAGGGACAGCGAACAGTTACGTGGGAGCCTCACACTAATGCCGTCGGGCCGCGTAGGGAGGGGTGTTTTCTATAAAGAAGGTCCTGCTGGGCCCGTTACGCCAGGGCTGAGGCTCAGAGAGGATGAGAGCTTGTTTGTAGTCACACAGCACGCAAGCAGGAGAGCAGGTCTGAGACAAGTGTGTCAGTCACCAGGGCTCAGCTATGCCGTGATCATGAGCAGCCCAGACTTGAGACACAAGGGCTTATTTTTTGGCTCACACCCTGCGTCTCTCTGGGGTCACTGTGGCTCTGTGCCTGGAGCATTCTGTGACCCAGGCTGATCCAGCCGGCCCCAGCCGTGGTGGGATGTCCCCGCAGCAGAGGGAAGAGAGTGGGGGTAAAACCACAGGGCGACTCCCGCTCAGAAACAGCCCTGACACTTTTGCTCATGTTTTTTTGGCCAAAGCACACCGGGTGGAAAGAGGTGCAGGACGAGTCCCATGGGCAGGCCTGCAGGGAGGGACAGTGAGTAGAGTGGGCTGTCCTTCATTGGCCCAAAGCCCATGCTCCTCCAGGGCACCGGGCAACCTTAGTCCTGCTGTGTGACCTTGGGCAAGTCGCTTTGCCTCTCTGGGCCTAGGTCATTGGGCGCTCCATCGATACCTGAATCATGGGAGTAGCTCTCCCCTGGCCCTTTCTCCTCTAGGCCCCGTGTTACCTCGTTAAGCCTCACAGTCACCCCCATTTTACAGATGGGAAAAGGACAGCTTGGTTTCCCAAGGTCACAGAGGGCCTGTCGCAGAACTGGTATTTGCACTCCTGCAGCCCTTGCTTCTTGGACCCCGAATTTAACCATCAGGTTAGCTGGCCACAGACCCACAGGCCGCCCCACGGGTGGGCTAGGTGCCGGGATCGCTATTTTAGGTGAGGTGGCCGGGCCGAGGGTCCCTCCTGGCCGGCGGCTTCAGGAGCCCACCTGCTCCGTCCTTGCTGGGACGGCCTGTGGGGCGGAGACCGCGTCCGCCCGCTCACGGCTGCTCCGCTGTCCCGCGCCCGACCTGGCGGTGCTCGGCGGGGTTCCTCCGTCGCAGGAGGTTCCGTTCACTGCCCGGGAAACGCCGCACGAGTTTGAATCGGTGAATGTCCCAAAATAGGGTGAAGAACCGCAGCTTTGGCTGGCTTCGCATCGTGACCCATAGAACAGCCTCTATTTTAACTTCTGCCCTTTAAGAAACACACTCAGAAAAGACGCCTGCATCTGGATGGAATTAATTTCCAGAGCACATTTTAAAAATTAAATTTAAAAATCCAAGATGCGCCCAGCCAGCCAACCACGGAGAAGGCTGGCCGTGGAGGACAGGAGGGCTGCCCGGGGATGGCGTCCATGGCCTGGGCCCCCGTGGGCTGCTGCCTCTGGGGCGGCCTCCCTCGCAGTGATGTGGGGTCAGTGAAGCTGGCACCTCCTGCAGGGGCGCCCCTGCCTTCTCTGAGCTGGGAGCGAGGACGGTGACGCAGTGAGATGCTGGGGGGGCTGGAGCCCATCCTTGGTTCCGGGTGGCGGGTGAGCCAGGACAAGTGGGCACCCCGCACAGAGGCAGGCAGCCTCCTCGGACTTTTGTCCTGGACTTGACCTTAGGATTTTCCCAAGATTCAACACAGTGCGAGGTCGGATGGACCCGGGTCCAAATCCCAGCATGGCCGCTGTCCAGCTGGCTGTGCAGCCTTTGGCGAGTGACGTGGCCTCTCTGGGTTTCCTCCCCTCCCCTGTGAACTGGGGAGACTGGCCCTGACTCCTGGCACTGCTGCAGGTTCAGACACGGCACAGGCTGCTGTGACTGCGGTGGGACTGTTAACGCTCAGTGAGCATGCGCAGACAAGGTACCGTCTGGTGACAAAGTTAATGTCCTGGTCCCCAGCTCCCCATAAGCCCTCACTATGTATTAGCTTAAGTAACATCAGAGGCAGCCTGTGCCGAGCTCACAAAGCTAAGCTGGCCCCCGGGCCCAGCCTCACACAGCTCCGACCCCAAGGCAGACAGTCCTGTGGAACAGCAAGGACCACACAGTGTGTTCTGGGAAACCCAGTGGCTCTGGGAGCCCATGGGATGGGTTGGACCCAACACGAGACGTCAAGGAAGGCTTCCTGGAGGAGGTGACAGCTGCGCTAGGCCACGCGGCAGAGCCAGCTGAGCGCACGGCAGGTCGGGATTGAGTTTCAGGGGGAGGAGCAGCAGAGACAAAGGCCCGGAGGCGGCTCGCCTGCCCCAGGGACCTGGGTGGCACCTGTCCGAGGCAGTGTGGTGCAGTGGTTAACCTGGGTGGCCACTGTCCACTGGACTGCGGGGTTCAAATCCTGGTTCTGCCACCGAATGGCTGTGGGATCTTAGACACGTCTTTTCTTTCCTCCGAGCCTCAGCACTCCATCTGTACATTGGGCGGGGTGACAGCACCGTCCCCTCCGGGCGTGAGTGTTGAATGGGCCACGGTGGGTAAAGCATGAGAGCAACACCCGCCCACCGCCGCTTTCATTACTGTTGTTATTTCCCAGGCCTGGGGGTTCCAGGCCCAGCCGTGGCCCAGCCACCCCCCAGCTGGCGTCATGGACCCCCCTCTGTAGGGCGTGTCTTCAGCCAGCTGCCCCTGCCTCCCCCCCTCCATCTCCCTCAGCCCCTTGGGCTGCTGCCATGGGAACCACCGAGGAGAGCTCGATGCTTAGAGCAACCCTGTGGGCCTCCCGGGGAGGCTGGAGAAAGGGGGCTGGGGAAGGCAGTTGTGCCGGGGCCAGAGCCGGGCCCTCCTCCTCTGTCCTCAGGGCCGTCCACCCCAGGACGGCCGCCTTCGCAGGCCAGACAGGCCACTGGCCTCTGTTGCAGGGAAGGATGTCCATGTCCAGATGTCTCCAGGCGGATGTAGCTTCCCCTTGAAATGAGGCTGTCAGCCATTCACACCTTAGTCTGAACAAGCTCCTGAGACTTCTGCAGGCTTCATGGGGGTGGTCGCTGGAGGTGGGGCTGTGGGAGGGTGGCTGTGGTAGAAAGTGTCTAGTTATTCATTCCTCAAGCAGATGCCAAGCCCCGAGCCCCCGTCAGCACCTGCTCCACGCTGGATCCAGCCCCGGTGGCGGGCCGGCGGAGTCGGGGGGGCAGCCCTATCTCACTGCTGAGGCCAAGGCTGGGCCGGGGATGAATTGACCTGGGAAGGTCAGATTCTGGAAACTGAGACCAGGAGGTGTTTCAGATCATCTCCGCCAGGCCCAGAGCATGCAGGGGTTCTTCTAGGTCACACAGCAAAGCTGGGCCAAGGAGGAACCAGGACCAGGCCTCCTGGCTCCAGGCCTGGCTCCCTGGCTCTAGACAGGGTCTAGAGGGACCCAGGACACGGAAGGATCCCTTCTGGTGAGAGCTGGTCAAAGGCTTAACAGTGCCCCCTGCAAGGATCCCCACCCAAGGACTTGGGGTGGGGGGAAGCGGCTCAGGCTGGGATAGGGCCAAGACAGTGGACCAGGATCTGGGAGGCGGCAGACAGGGCAGGGTGGGGAGGGGAAGTGGACACCTCACCGCCCCCCCTCTGGTACCCCAAATAGCCCGGTGCCGTGTTCTCTGGCCAGCCCGGCTGGTTCCCCGGGCCGATGGGCTTGGCTGTCCCGCCCGCTCTCAGCCTCTCTCTCTTTCCCCAGCAACTACACCGCCCTGCTGGGCGTGTGGATCTACGGCTTCTTCGTGCTGATGCTGCTGGTCCTGGATCTTTTGTATTACTCGGCAATGAACTACGACATCTGCAAGGTTTACCTGGCGCGTTGGGGCATCCAGGGACGGTGGATGAAACAGGACCCGCAGCGGTGGGGGAACCCGGCCCGGGGGGCCCGGCCGGGGCAGCC